GGACACGGGACACGCCCACGCCCACGGACACGAGACACGCCCACGGACACGGGACACGCCCACGGACACACCCACGGACACGCCCACCGTGGATCATGGCCGAGTTCCCACCCGCAACCCCACCTGCCGCTCAAACTCCACCTGGGACACACCCACGGGACACGCCCATCAATGGCCACGCCCATCAATGGCCACGCCCACCGGACACGCCCACGGGACACGCCCATCGATGGCCACGCCCATTAATGGCCACGCCCACTGGACACGCCCACGGGACACGCCCATCGATGGCCACGCCCATCAATGGCCACGCCCACCGGACACGCCCACCATGGGACATGGCTGAATTCCCATCTACCAACACCACCTGTCATTCAAACTCCACCTGGGCGGGGCCAGCGTCAGGCCACGCCCACGGACACACCCACAGGACACGCCCACCAATGGCCACGCCCACAGAGGAACACGCCCACAGGACACGCCCATAGGACACACCCATCAATGGACACGCCCACGGGACACGCCCAGAACAAGCCACGCCCACCACAGGACACATGCTGGTTTATGTTAAGCCACGCCCACACGTGTGGCCACGCCCCTGGGAAAGCCACGCCCCTTGACCACACCCGGTTCGGCCACGCCCACAAAACCACACCCGGGTAAGCCACGCCCACAACGTGCCACGCCCGGTTAGGCTCCGCCCCCCCCCTCGGGCCCCGCCCCTCACCTGCTTCTTCATCTTCTTCTTCTCCTTTTTGCTGACTCGGGCGTCCGGCCCCGCCCGCGGCCCCGCCCCCTCCTCCTGCCACACCCAGAACGGCCCAACGTGACCCAAAATGTCCCAAAAACCACCCAAAAACCTCCCAAAAACCACCCAAAATATCCCGGAATAACCCAAAATGGCCCAAAGTGACCCAAAATGTCTTAAAAACCACCCAAAATGTCCCAAAATATCCCAGAATAACCCAAAGCATCCCAAAGTGACCCAAAATGTCCCAAAAACCACCCAAAAACCTCCCAAAAACCACCCAAAATATCCCAGAATAACCCAAAGCATACCAAAGTGACCCAAAATGTCCCAAAAACCACCCAAAATATCCCAGAATAACCCAAAACGGCCCAAA